TGGATCTTCTGTGGTCTGCCAAACGCTACTTAAATGAGCTTGGAATGGAATCTGTACCCAGTTAACTTTTTAGATGATTGCACCTGTGGCCAATGCTCTGATTACAGCCTTGTGAGAGACCCTGAGTCAAAAATACTGCCTGTGTCAGTATTCCTGACCCACAAAAACATAATAAATGTTGTTTTAAGCTGCTCACTTCGGGGTAATATGTTATGGAACAATAGATAACTAAATTAGATAGTAAAAGCACATGACAAAATCCAACACCCATTCATGATAGAAATTCTCAACTAGGAATAGAAGGGAGTTTCCTTAATCTGATTAAGGCTATCCATGAAAAACTCATTGCTAACCGTCATACTTAATGGTGAAAGACTGAATGCTTCACCCTAAGGTCAGAAGCAAGGATGTTAGATTAACTCTTGCCATTTCTAGTTAACTTTTTTTTGAAGATTCTAGCCAGTGCAGTACATTTATTACAGAATTGCAAACTAAAACCTCAATAGATGATTACACTCCATACCCATTAAAATGGCTATAATTTTTTAAAAAGAACAATGCCAGCCCTGGCCAGTTTGGCTCAGTGGTTAGAGCGTCAGTCTGCGGTCCAGAGAGACCTGGGTTCGGTTCCCGCTAAGGGGACGTACCTCGGTTGCAGTTTGTTCCCGGCCCTGGTTAGTCGTGCGGGTGGCAGCCACTTGATGTGTCCCTTTCACGTCAATGTTTCTCTCTCTCTCTCTCTCTCTCTCTCTCTCTCTCTCTCTCTCCCTCCCTCCCTCCCTCCCTCCCTCTTTCTCTCCCTCCCTCCCATTCTATCTGAACAAAAAATGGAAAAATGTCCTCATGAGAGGATTAAAAACAAAAAACAAAAAACCAAGCCAAGTGTTGGTAAGGATATGGAGAAACTGGGACTTTCATAAGTTGCTGGGTAGGAACCTAAAAGGGCACGGCCACTTTAGAAAGCAGTTTGGCAGTTTCTTAAAGACTCAAACAAACTTAGTATATATAACACCTAGCAATTTCTCTTCAAGCATCTAGCCAGAAGAAATGGAAGCATTAGGTCCACACAAAAACCTAAAAAATGATTTCGGTCAAGATGACAGTATAGGTAAACGCAGTACTTGCCTCCCCCCACAACCATATCAAAATTACAACTAAACTACAGAACAACCATCATCCACAACTGCCTGAAACTGAGCTGAATGGAAGTCCTACAACTACAAAATTAAAGAGGCTACATTGAGACTGGCTCCAGCCTGGAATAGGTAACTTGAAAGGCACCAGAGACATACCGGGAAGAACTGAGTTGATTGGCTTTGGGGTGAGAGCTGGAGAGGCAGCTTTCTCCTGGACAGACCTGCTGGTGGAGGAGGCTCTTCCCTTTGGTGAGCCCTTCCCCCATGGGCCCAGCAGATGGCATTATATGATGGCATTATATCTGGGACTCCAGCAACCTAGTTCACACTGTTTGCCCCACCCTGGTGACTCCGTGAGGTTCTGCCCCACCCAACTTTCAGGCCCACCCAAGCTGTTTCCAGTGGCTTTAGCACAGGATTGGCCTGTCTTGGCTTCTTCAGATTTTCCTGTATTCTCAAACAAATAACATCCGGCCTCAGCAAGCCCCATGCCTCTCACTAAGTGACCTAGGCCTGGCAGTAGAAGCAGCCAGCCTTGGTTCACAGCTTGGCTTTGCCTGGGCGCCTCCAAGCCCAGCACAAGAAGCAGCCATCTGCAGATCTCTGTTGCTTATACCTGGTGGCCCCGGGTAGAATGCAGGCTGTGGCTAACGTTGCCCCAGAGCCAGCACACCCCGTGGAGTTTCAGACCACATCAAAGCACCACCACTCAACCGCCTCCACAAGTGCCACACTCAAGGAATGGACTCGGTGGGTACCAGATCCCTGCTGAAGTAAGTCTTGCTGTGTGTGGTGGTCCCCTGCACAGCTGATCCTCCAAGGTAGTCAGAGGTCATTGGGCAGTGGACACAGCCAGTTCTTGCAGCCGATCAGCGTGAATAAATCCTTTTCATTGACATGCCAATAGCAGCCAAGACTCAATTACAACAGAGGGGTACACCTTGAGGGCCCAGCTGGGGTGATCAGGGAGGCTGTGCCACTGGACCTTACAGGACACCTATTACAATAGACCACCCTACGAAGCCTAGGAGATGTAGCAACTCTTCCTAATACATAGAAACATACCCTGGGAGGTAGCTAAAATGAGGAGACAAAGAAACATGTCCCAAATGAAAGAATAGAACAAAACTCCAGGAAAAGAACTAAATGAAATGGAGATAAGCAGTCTAACAGATGCAGAGTTGAAAACACTGCACAAGGGTGCACAAGGAACTTAGAATTTTAAGGAACTTAGTGAGGACCTCAGGAGGATTTAAAAAAAAACAAACAGTCAGAAATGAAGAATGCAGTAACTGAAATAATTTATAGAGAATCAATAGTAGAGTTTGTGAAGCCAAGTAGCAGACCATTGATTTGGAATAGAAGGAAGCAAATAACACCCAATCAGAACAGCAAAAAGAAAAAAGAATCCAAAAGGATAAGAATAGTGTAGGAGCCTCTGGGACAACTTCAAGTATAACAACATTCCCATCATGGGAGTGCCAGAAGAAGAGGGAGAGCAAGAAATTTAAAACCTATTTGAAAAACAAAGTAACAGAAAACTTCCTTAACTTGGTGAAGGAAACAGAAATACATATCCAGGAAGCACAGAGCCCCAAACAAGATGAACCCAAACAGGTCCACACCAAGACACATCATCATCAAATGCAAAAGGTTAAAGACATGCCCTGGCCGATTTGGCTCAGCAGTTAGAGCATCAGCCTGCGGTTCAGAGAGACCCGGGTTTGGTTCCCATGTACCTCAGTTGCAGTTTGTCCCCAGCCCTGGTTGGGTTGTGCGGGTGGCAGCCACTCGATGTGTCCCTTTCACATCCATGTTTCTCTCCCCCCCCCCCCCATCTGAACAACAACAACAAAAAGGGTTAATGACAAAGAGAATCTAAAAAGCAGCAAGAGAAAAGCAGTTAAGTTACCTACAAGGGAGCTCCCATAAAACTGTCAGCCTATTTCTCAAAAGAAACTTTGCAGGCCAGAAGGGAGTGGCAAGAAATATTCAAAGTGATGAAAAGTAAGGACCTATAACCAAGATTACTCTATCCTGCAAAACTGTTTAGTTTCCCAGACAACAAAAAGCTAAAGGAGTTCATACAAAATGTTGACAGGTCGTCTTGAAGAACAACAAAAAAAATATGAACAATAACATGGCAGTAGATACATATCTATCAATAACTGAATCTACAAACAAAATATGCAAGCAGAACAGAAACAGACTCAGACACAGAGAACTTTCTGTTGGTTGCCAGATGGGATGGGGGTTGGGGTGATGGGTGAAAAAGGTGAAGGGAGTAAGAAGTATAAATTGGCCCTTGGTCAGTGGTTAGAGCATTGGCCTGTGGACCAAAGAGTTGCAGTTCGGTCCCTGGCCCTTGTCGGGGTCGTGCGGGAGACAGCCAGTCGATGTGTCTCTGACATCAATGTTTCTCTCTCTCCCTCTCTCTCTTCCTCCCTCCCGCCATCCCATTCTCCCTCCCTCCTACTCTATCTGAAAATAAATGGAAAAATATCCTCAGATGAAGATTTAAAAGAAAAAAAGTACAAATTAGTTATTAGAGGTAACGGAAGGGAGGGTCGGGAAGAGACAAACCAAAGAACATATATGCATAACCAGTGGACACAGACAATAGTATGGGAAGGCAGGAGGGGGGCGAGAGTGGGGAGGATGGGGTCAATGGGGGGGGGGCATCAACAATAAAGATAAGTGGTTTTTTTGTTGTTGTTTTTATTTCTCACCTGAGGATATTTTTTCATGTATCATCAGATAGAGTGGGAGAGAGGGAAAGAGAAAAACATCAATGGGAGAGAGACACGCCGACTGGCTGCCTCCCGCACAACCCGACCTGGGCCAGGGACAAACTGCAACTGAAGTATGTGCCCTTGACCAGAATTGAACCAGTAAGTCACTGGTAGGTCCGCGGGCCTACGTTCTAACCGCTGAACCAAACCCTCCAGGGCTAAAGACAAATTAAAAAACAAACAAAGAAGCATGTCAGCCAAATAGAATATAGGGTTCTTATTTGGATCCTAATTTGATCAAATCAACTTGACAAAGGAATTTATGAGAGAATTGGGAAACATATAGAGGGAATATCAGGTATTAAGGAATTAAAGTCCTTACCTATTAGAAATATGTCCTGAAATATTTACAGGTGAAATGTATATGGGATTTGCTTTAAAATACTAAAATGAAAAAAGGAGGGAAATGAATAAAATAGAAATAGAATATTGATAAGTGTAGAAGCTTGATGGTACATGTGCTTTCTGTATCATTCACTCTTGTATATATTTGAAATTAAGAACTTGACCACTGTGGAAAAAGAGCCTTTAAGAAATTCATATAGGAATAGGAAATAATGCTGTATAACTTAGCTTGTTTCAGCCTAATACTGGTTCATCCTCTGTATTTCTTGCAAAAACCCAAATATGATATTTGTGCCATGCAAAAGGTTATCTTGAGCAGAGATTTAAGTGAAAGAGCAGAGACAGCTTTCACTCTTCATGTCCATGTCTCACCACTTACTAGCAGATACTAGCTTTCTGGTGTTCCTGGATTTGCAAAATGCACGTAGATCTTTTATCAGCTCATGTGCAGTTAATGCCTAATAGCTATTAACATTTCCAAATGTGAATAAAGCACCATATTCCCCTCATGCAAATTCTTATATATATCACACACATCCTTTCTTATCCCTTGTAAATGGCTCTGTTCTCTTAACATGAAAGGTCCCAGGATTTTTTAATGTTTTTGTGGAGATTGTGGAAATTTTACAGTTCTTGTGTAAATACACATGTGTTTAATGAGAATCATGTATGATATACTAAGGATGTGTTGTTTGTTTATTTATTTTCTCCTTTTTCCATTTTTCAGTACATGTACTAGCCTTAGCAAGTTCTGTTCCAAACTCAGGCACCTTGACTTGGCTTCCTGTACATCAATAACAAACATGTCTCTAAAAGCTCTGAGGTAAATTTCTTATAATAAGATTGTCCAAAAATGAGAACAAATATATTTTTAAAAAATAACTGACATAAAGTTGGAATTGAAGGAAATTATGTTTTATGGATGTATACTATATAGTTCAGAATAGATCTTTTGTTTTACCCAAATTATAGGACAGGTGAAATAACTAGAGGTAAACTAGGATTTCTGAACAGAGTAATACAATTTATATATAGATGACTAGTTTTTATGAAGGCTTCCTCTCCTCTCCCCCCAAAAATGACATATATTATTGCTTTGTGATTAAATCAGTGCTCTGGAGTCAGATTATTAACCAGGTACCTTGAACAAATGTAACCTTCATGAATTTCTCCTCCTTATCTCATAGGTTTGATAGTAGGATTAAACAATATTATCATTTTTTTATAATATTAAGGCAAACCATATAAAGTTGCGAATAAGTGTCTGTCTTATAAAAATTACAGTTTCATGTGCTTTAACCTAATATATATAAATTGCTTAGTATGTAGTAAACACTCAATAAGTCCTAATTGTTGTAATATTCATGTATTTTTTTTAAAGTACATTACAGAAAATGTATGTTTAAAGGAAGGTGAAGGGGTGGGGGGTGCCAATGGGGTAAAAAGGTAAAATATCTGTAACAAAAAAATAAATAAATAAATAAAATTCAAAAAAAAAAAAAAATAAAAAAAATAAAGGAAGGTGAAATACCCGTTCTCTTTGTAACTTTGCTTATTATCAACCTTTTATGGTCTCATATATTGGTTACATTTATGAATAGTAAGAATTAAGCTATTAGAAGGAATGGAAATTTAGTTAAGTAGAGTATAAGTAATCTAAAAATGTGACTCCTTCTAGACCTTCCTTATGAATATTGAGCATATATGTATTTAAGGCTGTTTGCTGTGTAGGATAATATAACAATTTATAGTTTATAAAATATTCACATAAATGATCTCATTTATTTGAAAACCTTGTGAGGTAGATATAGATAGGACAGACATTTTACAGATAGAAAATCTAAAACATTTTTGAATGCCAGGTAATGTGATTCAGCCATGAGATGTAACTGAATAAGATATTGTTGCTGCCTTTACTTGGCTCAGAGTCTAGTGGGAGGAAAAGAACCCTAAACATGTTATCATGTTACAGTGTGGTAATAGAGTAATACAGTACTGTGTAGAAGTAAGTCTAGCAGTTTGGAGAGAACATGGAAGTGATTGTTGCTAACCTTGGATTAAGAGAGGTTCAAGTAGGCTTCCTGAAATGACTTACCTTAAGTTACATGATTAATGTTGAAGGATGAACTTGAACCAAGATTCCCTGGCTTTCTTTTATAAAACAGTTAAGTCAGCACTTTCCAAAGAATGTCATAGACCTTGGGATTCTTCTATAGATCAAAAATCAAAGATGAAGCTAGCATTGATAGAAGTCAGAGATCATATACAGTGTATCTTAAATTCAGCCTATGGAAATAGTAATCTACATACTTCCCAGATAAGGAATGTTTACAGAACCTCTGTAATTTTTTAAATAAAAATTTAAATGTCCTTGTTAGTACTTTGATAAGTAATAGAATTATTTGATAGCGACTCTGGGTTTGACTCTAAACTCTTAATTACTTGATCAACTTGAGCAAGTCACTTAATTTTTGTTTCCTATCTGGGGACCATATAAATATGTGATAAGTGCAAATAGAATATAATTTGAAAAGTATAAACCTCCATTAAAATCTAATATATCTGAAAAACAATATTGTGCTTTGTGCTTGTTAATTATACTGGATTTGGGCTAGCCTTCCTAGTGATATAGTTTCACATGAACACTACAAACATTGATAAACCCACTTTTGTGATTATGGGATTTCCTGTGTTCTAAATCTATGTTCATAAAGTAAATATGTATACTCTTGTGGGAGAGCATGGGGCTCTATCCATTTCCTGACTAAATAGCCAATAAAATGAGACTTTTGTGCCTTTGGAATTGGATTTAGTCATATGTTTTCTTCATTTTGTTTTATCCCAAGTGAGGGATGTCCACTGTTGGAGCAATTGAACATATCCTGGTGTGACCAAGTAACCAAGGATGGTATCCAAGCACTAGTGAGAGGCTGTGGGGGTCTCAAGGCCTTATTCTTAAAAGGCTGCACACAGGTAATACTCTATGTAGTGCTTGTGAATGATAGAGAAACTGTGAACTTTGTAGGCAACCCCAAGATGTTGGCTTAAAGAGTATGTAGTTGTATTATTAACCAAGGACACGTGTTTACCAAAAATCAGTGTTTTCCATAGAGTAAAAGAGAGAGAGAGAAGAGAAGAATGGTGGTGACAGGTTGGGGGGTGGGATCGGGAGGAGGGTGTCGGGGGTGGAGGAGAAATATATGTAATAAAAATTACAAAAAGAGAGAGAGAGAGAAGAATGAACATCTGACCAAAGATTTTTGTTTTGAGGCAGGCTGGGGAGACAAAAAAGCATACTGAGCAAGCACCTGAGGCAAGAAGGGTTTTATCCAGTTTAATCTGAAAAGAAAACTTGTGGTTATTACTGTCTGAGACCTTGAACTGGATAGGCAAGGAGGCAGTCTTGGCAATTTTCACTAGTTTTTAAACTACCAAAATTTTCTTGAATGTGCCAAGTATACAGCAACCTACATTTTATACTGTTGATGCTTATTTCCTGCCAGTCACATGACAGATTCAACATATTTTGTCATTAAAAATATTACTAGAAGGAATTGGCATGGACATGATCAAGAGTGGGTTTAAAAGGGACTCTTATTACCTCATTTTTTTAATGGTTGCTAAAACCATTCCTTGAATTTCATTAAAAATGTTCTCATTTTTTCACCATGGTGAGAGATGTTCCATTGTTTGAAACAGCTTTGGAAGTATGAGTACCTTAAAACAACAGCTTGAGCTTCTGGTTATTTATGGAATCCTGAAAAATATTGATTGGAATGCATCATTATAATCAATTACTTGCCATCTGTTCTCAGTACTCATGGCACTGATCTTCTAGCAGCAGATAAACTGGATTTTTTCTCAGCTCTTGCTCCCAAAAATATAGGGAGTGTAGAAATGAAAAAATTCTTGTAGCTTCATAAATGCTCAGCAAAATGCTGTAAAACATACTTATCAGAAGTGCACAAACATTAAGCAGTGTTTATTTTATCTTTTTCTTGCTTTTGTGATAATAAGAATTTGAAGTGGTAAGAACTGATCAAATAAAAGGTACTGATCATGTGAATTATACCTTTATGTGATCATGGTTCATTGTTACTTTGAAACTAGGTTGGCTATATTTAGAATGTATTGATTAATGTGTACACTCTTAAATCTTTATTCTTTGACACAATGTCAGTAATTATTTTTTCTCTCTTTTTTTTAATCTTTCTAGCTAGAAGATGAAGCTCTCAAGTACATAGGTGCACACTGTCCTGAACTGGTGACTTTGAACTTGCAGACCTGCTTAGTAAGCAGTCCTTCCCACAGCTCTTCTGTATTACTAATTGATTTCTATATTGTTGCTGTAAGAGTTTTAGTCATCAAGACCAGTAGTTTTTTCACTTTAACCCTGGGGACATAGTAGATACACAGATGATTCTTTACTTGCTTGACAATACTCGTTCCCAGGGGCTTTGACATAGATAAGTGGGTAGCTTATTCAGAATTCCAGATAGGCTAACTATAACTTCATTCCTTTCTTTCCTGCTTAAGAGAATACATTTTAAAATTAAATTATTCACAAGCTTCAGTATTTAAAATATTTTTGGTAAATTAATTGCAGTTTCATCGATTAAGATCTATCAGTGGGTCATAACGATCTAAACAGATGGTGAGCAAAATGTGCCCTTTAATTTATATTCTAATAGTATTTGTAGTTCACATTTGTTTCTTTAGACTATCAACTTTTTTGTGTCTATCTCAAAACTCCTCAATTTTACTTAGAGAATTTGCTGAAACTATTCAGGGTTCTATAACCATTGGCAATACACTTTTAGCTTTTCTCTCTTGCCTTGAAAAGTATGTATGTGTGTTGCTTTGGAGTGAGAGCCTCTCTTAGCAATGAAAAAAACTGATAAGGGTTTTTTGTTTGTTTGTTTTCACTGAACCTTCTGATTATTATACCCCTTCTTGTTTAATCACTTAAAACTTGAGAGAGCATAGTGGTTGTTTGGTTTAAAGCTGCCACATTTTGTGCAACTTAAGCAGCTTGCCCTCCAGCCCTTGTGGCGTGGTGCTTCTTGATAATGATCTGCTTAGGAGGCTTCTGGAGACTGAGTTAAAGAAATGACATTCTTATTTATTCTGACCCAACCCTTCCTTTTAATTCTGATTGCCATAGCTGCTAACTACCAGAATTTGCCTCATTTCATTTATGAAACTGAAATATTTGACCTGAAAGAGCTTATACAACTGTTTTAAACATGAAACCATCATCTTACAGTGATAGGAAAAAAATTGTTCTTGGGCATCTTCAGATTTTATTAAAATACATATACACACACACATTCTGTATATATGTGTGTATGCATATATTGCATACATATTTGCACATACACACAAATATATGTGTATACACCATACCTACCATTTACTGTTTTAATGTCGTTTCCTTTACCCTTCCACCAGGCAGAAATCACAGTTGATAAGCATAAAGAACCAGTTCTAGCATGTGTTTATTTTACTGTTTCCCTTCACCCAGATATTAGGGCACGAGTCACTCCTTTGTCATTCTTTTATTTATCCTCACTCGAGGACATTTTTTCATTTTTTGTTGTTGTTGTTGTTGTTCAGATAGAGTAGGAGGGAGAGAGAGAAACATCGATGTGAAAGGGACATCAAGTGGCTGCCACCCGCACAACCCAACTGAGATATGTGCGCTTAGCGGGAATCGAACCCTGGTCTCTCTGGACCGTAGGCTGATGCTCTAACCACTGAGCAAAACTGGCCAGGGCTGAAATTCTTGTTATATCTGATCATATCCAACATATGTTTATACTTGACTTCTTTATTTTATTTTATCCTCCCCAAGGACATGCTTAGAAAGAGGAAGGGAGAGAGAGACAGAGGCAGAGAGAGAGAAAATGAAACATTGAAAGAGAAACATCAATCGGTTTACCTTCCATATGCTCCCTGACTGGGTATCAAACTCGAAACCCAGGTATGTGCCCTGATTGGGAATGGAACCGGCAACCTTTCGGTGCATAGGAAGATGCTCAACCAACTGAGCTACTCCAGTTGGGCATGACTTTTTTTTTTTTTAATGTAACATCTTTGTTCTTTTTCATTTTAAAATAATTTGAAACATAGAAAATTATATTTGAGTTGGTCGCAATTTTTTTTTTTTTATCCTCACCTGAGGACATTTTTCTATTTTGTTGTTCAGATAAAGTGGGAGAGAGAGAGAGAGAAAGAGAAACATCGACGTGAAAGGGACACATCGAGTGGTTGCCACCTGCACAACCCAACCAGGGCTGGGGACAAACTGCAACCGAGGTACATGCTCTTAGTGGGAACAAAACCTGGGTCTCTTGGGACCTCAGGCCAGCGCTCTAACCACTGAGCAAAACTGGCCAGGGCAGTCACAATTGTTTATTTATTTATTTATTTATTTATTTTTATCCTCACCCGAGGATATTTTTTTATTTTTTGTACAGATAGAGTGGGAGGGAGAGAGAGGAAGGGAGAGAGAGAGAGAAACATCGACGTGAAGGGACACATCGAGTGGCTGCCACCCGCACGACCAACCAGGGCCGGGGACAAACTGCAACCGAAGTACGTGCCCTTAGCGGGAACCGAACCCGGGTCTCTCCGGACCGCAGGCCGACGCTCTAACCGCTGAGCCAAACCGGCCAGGGCACAATTGTTTATCTTCATAAATTAGCATATTATTTATTAGAAAACAAAAATACAGAAATAAATGGACCTGTGGTTGATATGAGGTTGCAACTGTCATCCACGGGTTGCTTTATTTTTTTTAGTAATTTAGTGTCAATATTGAACTTCTCGATATGTTTATACTATTAAAATACTGCCATTCCTGTTTTCTAGGTTTTAAAACCATTTAATTGAATGTACACCACGATACACCCCATGCTGTTCCCAATCGATTAGATTGAAAGAATCCCATTATAATTTCTTTCCTTTGTCCCCAAAATGAACACAGATTCTGTTGCAAACTAAATCAAAAGAAACTGGAAGGAAGAAACAAATTGGTTTTGTTTTCTTTTAGGTCTGCTACCTGAGTAATAATAAATCTGCATTTATTTCTCTTTGGTACTTACTTTCACAGAGGTAACATTTTTTCTTCTTTTTGTTCTGCAAAATTACTAATATCTATGGGGATTTTTTGCTCTTGCTTTTTAGCAAATCACAGATGAAGGTCTCATTACTATATGCAGAGGGTGCCATAAGTTACAGTCTCTTTGTGCCTCCGGCTGCTCCAACATCACAGATGCCATCCTGAATGCTTTAGGTCAGAACTGCCCACGGCTTAGGTAAACATTTCTTTTCTTTTTAATTTATTGGGGGGTTTTTTTGGGAGAGAGCAAGGGAAGGGGAGGAGGGGAGAGAGAGAACACATTGATTTATTGTTCCACTTATTTATACATTTATTGGTTCTTTATTTTCATTTTTATTTTTTTCATCCTCACCTGAGGATATGTTCATTGATTTTAGAGAGAAAAATATCGATGTGATAGAGAAACATCAATCGGTTGTCTCCCGTATGTGCACCAACTGGGAGTTGAACCCACAACCTAGGTATGTTTCTTGACCAGGAATCGAACCCTCAGTCTTTTGGTGTACGGGACTATGCTCCAACCAACTGAGCCACCCAGCCAGGGCCATTGGTTGATTTTTGTATGTGTTCTGACTAGGGATTGAACCTGAAACCTTGGCGTATCGGGATTACGCTCTAACCAACTGAGCTACCCAGCCAAGGTAATATTTCTTGCTTAGCTCAAAAGAATCAGGAAAAGAATAGAGGCCTTTTTCACTTATATTCATCTCTTGGAACCTTGAAAATTTCAAGGTAGACACTGTAAGGCTGCTACCCTTGTATGTATGTATGTATGTATGTATGTATGTATGTATTTTATTTTATTTTATTGATTGATTCTAGAGAGAGGGGCAAGGAGAGGGAAAGAGAGAAGAAACATCAATGAGAGAGAACATTGATTGGCCGCCTCCTGCATGCCCCCCACTGGGGATTTGGCTCACAACCTGGGCATGTGCCCTGATCGGGGAATCAAACTGGCCACCTCTTGGTGCATGGGTCGACACTCAACCACTGAGCCACACCAGGCAGGCAAGGCCGCTACCCTTTAGATGCCCTCCTTCTTGTTTTATACTTGATTACATGTAATTGTCCTGAACCAAGGGATACTAGTCCCTATTTTCTATTTGCTATCCATACTAGAAAAAAACATAATTTTATTACTTGAGAAAAGAAATAAACAGGCATTTTCTCTTATTAATGCTTTCATATATACATGGTCCCAAACTTTTACAATGGTTCAACTTACAATTTTGTGACTTTGTGATGGTTTGAAAGTGGTATACATAATAAATTATATGAGATAGTCAACATCTTTATTATAAAGTAACTCGTGTTAGATGATATTGCCCAACGGTAGGTCAATGTTAAGTGTTCTGAGCACATTTAAGGTAGGCTAGGCTAAACTATGCTGTTCGGGAGGTTAAGGGTATTAAGTGGATTTTCAACTTAATATATTTTTTGTGTTTGTGGGGTTTGTCTGGACATAACCCCATCACAAGTCAAGGTGTATCTGTAATTCCATTCTGAAGAAAGTTTTTGAAGGCCCATCCTGTGGTCACTTATATTGTAATAGTGATGCTAGGTACAAAGCAGAAAATATTTAAAAATTAAAAACAGGCCTTGGCCGGTTTTGCTAAGCGGTTAGAGCGTTGGCCCACAGACCAGAGTCGCGGGTTTGATTCTGGTCAAGGGCACATACCTTGGTTGCGGTTCTTCCCCGGCCCTGGTCAGGGTCATGCAAGAGGCAACCAGTCAGTGTGTCTCTCTCACACCAGTGTTTCTCTCTTTCTCCCTCTTTCTCTCCTCCTCTCTCTCCCACTATCTGAAGATAAATAGAAAAACAGCCCTACAGAAGAACCTTTTTTATGCTGATTAATGGTATTTTATTTTATTATTATTTTTTTTAATCCTCACCCAAGGATACTTTTCCATTTATCTTCAGACAGAGTGGGAGGGGGAGAGAGAGAGAGAGAAAGAGAAACATCAGTGTGAGAGAGACACATCAATTGGTTGCTTCTCACAGGACCTTGACCAGGGTCAGGAACCGAACCACAACTACTGACCAACCACCGGCTGGGCAGATTAATGGTATTTTAGAGCAAGCCTTATTTTTTTCTTGGCTCTACCTCTCTGCCTAAATATAGGATTGGCTAAATATTTATTAAGACTGCATTGTTAGCATGCACATGGTATTAGACCCATACTGATTTTGTAAAAGCACACAAAAACACTATTTTGATTTTTATATACCTTTTTTTTTCTTTTTTTATCTTTACTTGAGGACATTTTTCCACTTTTTTGTTCAGATAGAGTGGGAGGGAGAGAGAGGAAGAGTCGAGAGAGAGAGAAACATTGACGTGAAAGGGACACATCAAGTGGCTACCACCTGCACGACCAACCAGGGCTGGGGACAAACTGCAACCGAAGCATGCGCCCCCAGCGGGAACCAATCCCGGGTCTCTCCAGACCGCAGGCCAACTCTCCAACCACTGAGCCAAACCGACCAGGGCCCTTTTTTTTGTTGTTTTTTGAAATAAAACTTAGTCCAGCCTGTGTGGCTCAGTAGTTGAGCATCGACCCATGCACCAAGAGGTCTCCGGTTTGATTCCAGATCAGGGCACATGCCCAGGTTGTAGGTCAAATCCCCAGTGTGGGGCATGCAGGAGGCAGCCAATCGATGTTCTCTCATGTTCTCTTTCATTGATATTTCTATCTCTCTCCCTTCCTTTCTCTCTAAAATCAATAGAGAGAAAAAAAATTAAAAAATAAAACTTATATTGTACTTATATGTTAAACTTGTTAGCCAGTGTTTCACAACTATTAATTTATTTGATCATCAAACATCATATATGCACTGTTATTATCTCCATGTTATATATGAAGAAAACTGAAGGCCAGAGAGGTCAAGTAACCTGTTCAGGGCCTCACAGCTAGTAAGTGCAGGAGCAAGGATTCAACCCTGGCACTCTTGCTCCAGAACCCATGAAACCACTTGTTTTACATATAATAATCTCTTAAACCAATAAAACTTTATTAAAACTATTGTTTTGTAATCACCTGGCCATGGGCCTAACTATAATTAGTGAAAGAAAATTTGCCTATAGTTTCAAAATTTCTTAATCAATCATAGACTTGTCAAAATTAGTAATATCAGGAGCCTAGAGTAGAGTTCTATTTGAGGTACGTGCCCTTGACCGGAATCAAACCCGTGACTCATTGGTCCACGGACCGATGCTCTTAACTGCTGAGCCAAACCGGCCAGGGCAATTCTTGCTGTTTCAATAAATAGAGTTTTGAAGGACCAAAGGGCTTGACTTTCACTTTGTTTTTTTAATAGAATATTAGAAGTGGCAAGATGTTCTCAATTAACAGATGTAGGCTTCACCACTCTGGCCAGGGTAAGTATCTTCTCCAGGTTCTACATAGGTTTTGTTTGCGATTTTTATTTCAGAAGAATGAGCAAGGATGGAGGTGTGGAATGGCAGCAGAATTGAACGTGTGGGATGTGGGGGAAGTTCTCTGTGGCTGATGTTCCTGAGTGTTCTCGTACCACAGCTACAGACTTGTAGAATACACACTGCTCTAGAAATGCAGGCATGCATTGGATAACATGACACTTCTTCATGAAACTTCATTTTCCACATTTTCATATGATAAAATAAACGGATTTTCTAGTACTTTGTGAAATAAACTTAACTGGTTATTTGTATGCAACTGGTGGATGAAAGCAATACTGAAAGAAGCATATAATCCTAATTTTATTTTATTATAATTTTTTGTTTGTTCCATCTTTTTTTTTTTACTTTTTTTCTTAAATCTTTATTGTTGAATGTATTACAGATGTTCCTCATTTTTCCCCATTGACCCCCTCCTCCCCACTCCCACCCCCCTCCCACCTTTTCCCACACTATTGTCTGTGTCCATTGATTTTGCATATATGCATATAAGTTCTTGGTTTATTTCTTCCCACCCCCCAATCCTTTTCCCTTTGAGGTTTGTCAGTCTAGCAATGAATTTGTACTTCTTAATCCCTTCACCTTTTTCACCCATTCCCCCAACCCCGCTCCCATCTGGCAACCAACAAAATGTTCTCTGTATGAGAATGTTTCTGTTCTGCCTGTTCATTTTGTTTGTAGATTCTATTGTCGATAGATATGTATTCATTGCCATTTTTTTGTTCATATATTTTATCTTTTTCTTCAAAAAGATCCTTCATCATTTCATATAATAATGGTTTGGTGGTGATGAACTCCTTTAACTTTTTCTTGTCTGGGAAACTCTTTATATGGCCATCGAGTCTAAATGACAGCTTTGCAGGATAGAGTAATCTTGGTTGTAGGTTCTTGCTTTTCATCACTCTGAATATTTCTTGCCACTCTCTTCTGGCCTGCCAAGTTTCTTTTGAGAAATGAGCTGATAGCCTTATGGGAACTCCCTTGTAGGTAACTAACTGCCTTTCTCTTGCTGCTTTTAAGATTCTCTCTTTGTCTTGAACCTTTTGCATTTTGATGATGATGTGTCTTGATGTGGGCCTCTTGGGGTTCATCTTGTTTGGGACTCTCTGTGCTTCCTGGACTGTATGTCTGTTTCCTTCACCAAGTTAGGGAAGTTTTCTGCCATTATTGTTTCAAACAGGTTTTCAATTTCTTCTCTCTCTTCTCCTTCTGGCACCCCCAAGATGCGAATGTTGGCACACTTGAAGTTGTCCCAGAGGCTCCTTACACTATCTTCATTTTTTTGTATTTTTTTTTTCTTTTTGCTGTTTTGATTGGGTGTTTTTTGCTTCCTTATATTCCAAATTGATGGGTTTGCTTCTTGGCTTTACCTACTCTACTATTGAATCTGTATAAATTATTCTTTATTTCAGTTAGTGCTTCCTTCATTTCTGACTGGTCCTTTTTTATGCTCTTGAAGCCCTCACTAAGTTCGCTGAGGTTCTCACTAAGTTCACTGAGCATCCTTATAAGCAGTGTTTTGAACTCAACATCTCTTAAGTTGCTTATCTTCATTTCACTTAGTTCTTTTCCTGGGGTTTTGTTCTGTTCTTTCATTTGGGACCTGTTTCTTTGTCTCATTTTGGCTGCCTCCCTGTGTTTGTTTCTGTGTATTACTTAATGAGAGGTATGGGGCTCGCTGAGACCAGATGCTGCTTGTTTGAAAGAATTTAGGAAAACCTGAAGCAGGATCCAAGACAGGCCAATCCTATGGTTAAGCAACTGGCAACAGCTTGGGTGGGCCTGAAAGTTGGGTGGGGCGGGGCCTCGGGGAATCACCAGGGCAGGACTACCAGTGTGAGCCAGGTTGCTGGAGTCCCAGATATGGCAGCTGTCTGCCGCCCCAGGGAAGGGCTCACCAAAGGAACAAAGGCCTCCGACAGCACATTTGTCCCAGAGAAAGCCCCCTCTCCAGCCCTCGCTCCAGTGCCAAACAGCTTAGTTCTTTCCTGTATGTCTCTGGTGCCCCTCAAGCTGCCTCCCCTCCAAGCTTAGAGGGAGTGAGTCCGATAAGTCTGTGCATGGGCCCTTTAAGGAGCTGCCTGGGGCTCCAGCTGTGTCAGCTTCCCTGAGCCTCAGTTCTCGCTGGTTTTTCCAGCCAGAAGTTATGGGGACTTCTCTTCCTGGCACGGGGACCCCTCAGACCTCAGGGAGGACCTTCCCAGCCGAGGTATCCTTCTGATTTTTATCCGCCACACGTGGGTGTGGGACCAGCCTGTTGTGCCTCCGCCCCTCCTACCAGTCTGGATGGGGCTGCTGCTTTAATTCCATAGTTGTGGGACTTCCATTCAGCTTGATTTCAGGGGGTTTTGAATGATGGTTGTTCTGTAGTTTAGTTGTAACTTTGATGTGGTTGTGGGAGGACGCAATACCGCATTTACCTACTCTGCCATCTTCTATAATCCTGATTTTAAATGGAAATGTTTCAAGGGATTTTCTGTATTCTCCAGAAGGTTTAAGTACTTACGAGTGACTTATAAATTACTGTATAATAATAGTATTTAAAATTACAACTGTCTTTGACCAGTGTATGAAACAACAGAAAGGATCTTTGCTTTCAGGCAGATTGATATTTAATACCACTTAGTTTTCTGGCCTTAAATTTTTCCATATTTTAAATGTTTTTATTGTAATGTTTGGTTTGTATTTTATAGAATTGTCATGAGCTTGAAAAGATGGACCTGGAAGAGTGTGTTCAGGTAAGATTGTGGATTTTTACTCAGAAATACAGTATGATAGAAATTTACGTAATATGCACATGAGAACGTTCACTTCCCTCCCCTGGGTAATACAGTGCCTGGCAGCACTGCTGACTCTCCATGTACTGAGGTGTCCTCCAGGCACACCAGGAGGAGGACTCATGGTATATGTGTTCAGGAACTAGGAAAATGTATGCCATCAATAAGGTTGCCATTGGAAAGAAAGCAGGCCCAAACATTCAAGCCATAAAGCTATTTCCTTAGACCTACAGGGTTTTGATACTAGTAAGTAATTAGCCATCACACTGATATACCCTGACCCTTTACATCATTAACCCTGGAGACCTGACTCTGTATGGAACCCTGTCCTTCAAGCAGGCAACCAGATATCTCCTTATCAGCTATTTTCTTGCCAATGTTAAGAGCTTTGAGAATAGTTGATTGAAAAGAAACTTTGAAGGGAAACTCCTATTTTAGAAGATAGAGCAATGACTTTTATTAATGGTAAAAATAAAGAAAATACTTGGGTAACTGTTGAGGTCAGTTTTTTCTAAATTTCTTGTTTCCCAACACTACTTAGCACTTAATTAGTTCTTAGGCTAAAACTTGTTTGTGTCCATTTATCTCTTGCATATGCTTTGTGTCCTTTCCAGTGTTAGTCCTGCTGAGTGATGTGCACACACCTGCCTGCCCCAACTCCCCACCCCCTTCATATTTCTTGGCCCCTTTGAAACTGTATATACTAGGATAATATACCTCAGAGTTGGAAGAATTTGAAAATAAGCACTGATTTACTTTTTTCCTAAGATAACTATAAAAGACTGTTCTTCCTTTAGAGTTCTTCCTTCTGTAATGTTTGTAGGTAACCCAGATTCCAGCAGCCTCTTTATGCATCTTTGGGAAGATAACTGAAACCCAAGTTATTAATCCTGAGTTGTGCCAAGACTTATAAAATATGGGCCAACTATCTAAGATAACTGAAACCCAAGTTATTAATCCTGAGTTGTGCCAACTATCTAAAAATTTGAGGATGTTCTTAATTTTTCATGGAGCAGTATCTTCTGATTGTTTTCTGTGATGGTTCTAAGGAAGTAGAACAAAGTCCAGTGGGTGGAAGTTATGAGGAGACAGATTTTCATTGATTTCAAAAACAAAGCTATTTTCAACAGACCTTTTCAAAAAATAAACACTAGAGATTACGAAATGTCTTCAAGCCTAGGTTTTCAAAGAACAGATTCAGATAGCTGTTGATTTTGTTATTTAATAAACAATGTCAGCATATCAGTCTAGATTACATTTGTAGTTAAGAGTAAGGTATGGCCCTGGCCAGTTTGGCTCAGCGGTTGGAGCATGGGCCTGTGGACCAGAGAGTCCCAGGTTCAGTCCCCGCTAGGGGCACGTGCTAAAAAAAAAAAAGAGAGAGAGTGCGGTATGGACCGTGATTTTTTTTTTTTTTTTTTTTTGGATTATACCTAAAATAGACTTACATGTTTTTTTCAGATAACAGATAGCACATTAATCCAACTTTCTATACACTGTCCTCGACTTCAAGTATTGGTGAGTTTAACTCTGAAAGTTTATGTGTTTATTAGATTTAAATATGTTTTTATTGATTTTAAAGAGAGAGGAGGGGAGAGGGGAAGAAACAGAAACAGATGTGAGAGAGAAATATTTGTTGCCTCCCAGACGCACTCTGTCTAAAGACTGAACCTGCAATCCAGGCATGTGCCTTAACTGGAGATCAAACCGGTGACTTTTTGGTACATGGGATGATACTCAACCAACTGAGCCATACTGGCCAGGGCTATTTATTAGATTTAATCAAAACCCAGCTCTTGCCCTGGCCAGTTTGGCTCAGCGGTAAGAGCGTTGGCCCACAGACCAGAGAGTCTTGGGTTCACTTCCCGCTAAGGGCACGTACATCGGTTGCGGTTTGTCCCTGCCCCATTGGGGTTGTGTGGATGGCAACCAGTCGATGTGTCTCTCATCAATGTTTCTCTCTCTTTCTTCCTCCCTCTCTTCCTCCTGCTCTATCTGAGGATAGATGCAAAAATGTCCTTGGGTGAGGATAATTTAAAAAAACAAACAAACAAACCCAGCCCTGGCTGGTTTGGCTCAGCAGTTAGAGTGTCAGCCCGCGGACTGGAGAGTCCTGAGTTCGGTTCCCGCTAAGGGCATGTACCTTGGTTGCAGTTTGTCCCCAGTCCCGGTTGGGATTGTATGGGTGGCAACCAGTCGTGTCTCTCTCACATTGATGTTTCTTTCTCTTCCCTGCTCTCTCCCTCCCGCTCTGAAGATAAATGCAAAAATGTCCTCGGGTGAGGATAATTAATAAATAAAGAGATATGGTCTGAGGTCAGGATCTCTAAAAAAAAAAAAAAACACCTCAGCTCTGACTTTCCTCTTGGTGTCTGGCTGCCATTTTGGTAAAGCATATTTCTCCAAATTGCCGACTTACAGAGGACCAAGGGAGGAGCTAAGAAATGTTAAATGTTTTCTTTATAATACTTGGAGATTGAAAACGGACATGGAAAGTATGCGTTTTCCCTCCCACATGAATTATACTGCAACCTGAATGATGTTTAAATTTCCAAAGGCCCTGGGGACAAGATGGCCCAAAATACAGTTTGCTTCACCTTCAGACCAAAACAGAAGTAATCAGTGCTTTACTAGGGAGAGTTTTTTGCTACTGCTCCAGTAATATGATGAGACAGCATTCTGGTTGACCATTCTGTATCTAGGTTCATTTTTGGTGTATTTGGTGACATAGTACTATCCAAATTGGGTCAGGGGTTCTGAGTTTCACGTGTAGAAACCAGGGGACTTAAGGAAAATTGACAAAGTGAAGAGATTTATGTGAAGAGATCACCATACCTGGCAGCTGTAAGAATCAATTTCATTTAATTAACTGAGCATCTCCCTGTACCAAGTAATCAATATTTAGTCCAAATTTCAGAAATTTTTTGCAGGAAAAGCTTGAGTCCCTCTTGTCCCCATAAAGAAGAAAAGTATTCATTTGTGTATGGGGGGGCAGATATTTTGTTTATGAACTATTTCACAGTCATTAATGAAATCACACAATATATTTAGAATCACACAGAAATGTCTATCATTGATTATCAAAAGCAGAACCCCAGTGACTTTAGCTTATTTCTTCATTTTACCACATGAATCTAGTGATGGTTCCATATACATCAAAATCAAACTAGAAAGATCTTCTGATGACACACAGGTCTCTGCCTAGAAGAATGCCATAAGATAGTTCAGTGTCCTTTCTTGCTCTATTTGGCTGCAGAGTCTGTCTCACTGTGAGCTGATCACAGACGATGGAATTCGTCACCTGGGGAATGGGGCCTGTGCTCATGACCAGCTGGAGGTGATTGAACTGGACAACTGCCCACTAATCACAGACGCATCCCTGGAGCACTTGAAGAGCTGCCACAGCCTTGAGCGTATAGAACTCTATGACTGCCAGCAAATCTCACGGGCTGGAATCAAGAGACTCAGGGTAAAGATGGTTGCATCACTGCCTGGCTCTAGTGTTCTCAGAGCACCCCCCCCCTTTTTTTTTATTTTTTAGATTTAGATTACTGTGAATTTTACATTTACTTGGGCATTTAGCAAAGGGGGGAAAAATGGAGAGCAAGCCTAAGGTAGATAGTCTTATAGGGAAATTTAATAGGAAAATAGCCACTGAAGGGAAGAAAAGTAGGTCTCCTGCCAGCAGAGTTTCTCCCGTAATGTCCACAACTCAATAACATGACTGGAGTCAAAAGCATATGCCAGATTTTGGTTCTAAAGGAAAGAAAGGAAAAATGTAAAGAAGATATTTAGTTCAATAGGATTTAAGAATTTAATTTGTATTTTCTTTTACATCAAACCTCTTTTGCTGGGGTTTTATTTTTTAAGACAACAAATGGATTAAGTGATTTTTCCCCATTTTCTTTTTGCCCCACCCTCCATAGTAGAGAGATCCATGCACTGTTTTTCTTTTTGTCCCACCCTCCATAGTAGAGAGCCATGCATAGCCAAATGACTGAATGACGGGTTGTCAGCAAGGAGGTTATAAAAGGCTGGATGAATCTATATATTAGAGTATTCAGTAAAAGAGACATTTATTGGAACTTCTGCTTCACACCTGCTGTGGGAAAGGCCCTGTGCTTAGTTATCCCTTACAGCCAACCTAAAAATTCCATGTTGACCATATGGCACCTGAGCACATAAAGGAGCACCAAACCTCATCTTGATTTCCAGTTTGCCTCAGTTCCTCCTCTCCCATCAAATCTAGAGGACTGAGAGCATAACTTCAGTGGGGAAGCCTTGCAGCCATATTTCTTCTACATCAAAAGAGGAGAGCCACAGATCATCAGAAGAAACATTGTCCACAGTGACTTGGGGGGAAATCTTATTTTAAGCTTATTCCAGCTATGGGAATCAAACTAGGAATCCCTTTTGGGACAGGTTAAGAAATTGGTATGAAATTTTACCCCAGTTGTATTATGGAAGCAAATACCAAAGTTATGTGAGCTGATTTAGTCATTTAGAGTAATGTGGATGGTACAGAGTAGAACCCAGGCCTCTCATTGTCCTGGCTCTGCCCTGCTTTCATGACCACTCAGTCCCTCAGTGCTTTTTCTGAAAAGCAACATTGCTCTTTTCTGTTTAAGCCCTCTCTCTCAGTAATGTTTCTGTCTTGTTTCAGACCCATTTACCCAATATCAAAGTCCACGCCTACTTCGCACCTGTCACTCCACCCCCATCAGTAGGGGGCAGCAGACAGCGCTTCTGCAGATGTTGCATCATCCTATGACAGTGGAGGTGGTCAGCCTTGGCGAACTGAGTATTTAATGACACTTCTAGAGTTACTGTGGAGTCTCCAGTGGAAGTGACCCCAGTGTTCTGGGCAAGGATTACAAAGTGAGGCAGCGTCCAGATTCCCAGAGCCACACATACATACACATACCCACCCACTCTAGCTCTGTGACCAGGGGACTGAAGATTGTGCTGGCTTTATCAAGTGGATTGGTAAAACTTAACCATTCCTGTTGGACGTACCCAGAAGAAAATCATAGGCAAGGTAGGGGAAGGGGGCATTCCAGCAAACCCAGTGTTACTGCTACTACGGTTTCTTTATTTTGTTAAAGGGTTTATTTGGTGATTTTGGAATAGCAACAGCAGTCCTCCAGGGTCAGGGAAAGCATAGAAAAACAATATATGTTGTATCCAGGGACCAGAAAGAAAATTTCTTTGCATCCTATAAATGGTAGCCATTTGTTGTGAGATGACTACAGAGCTTCTGTGCTTCTCGTTCCCATGCCAACATTCTGAGCATGCTCACAAAGAAGGCTCCTCCATTCCGCCTCCTGTTTTAGTATTTGGCTCAGAGGTTTCCTAAATGGTCACATTGAAATCGCTGTGGTCCAAATGTGATTACTTATTCACTCAAATTGTCACTGTCTGTAGCACACTTGTGCACCTGTTCTGTGTTTCTCCCTCCTGCATTCTTGCTCAGTCTGTCACCTATTCATAGTCTGCTTACTCACACTCAGTTGTTACTCTTTTTGCTGCTGTTGTGTTTACAGTTTGCCTTTTGGATGATTAGTTGAGGTTACCAAACATTTTTAAAAGAGACATTATCAATAAATATTTTTTTAATTCTATATTTTACCATTAGGGGACCCTGCCTGAATCTTTGCCAGTCTGAAGGGAAGCTATTACAAAAGCAAGAAAAGTTATGAGAAGAAATTGAGCTAAAACTATTTTGATGATAGTAAACTTTGCCTTTTGGTTTCTGTTATATTTTGTGATATGTGATAATACACAAGATCTGCCCAGTATTTCACTGCACATTTTTCCTTCCATCAAGCTCCACTAACTTAGGAGGCAAGCAAAATGCGTTTTTAGTGAGGAGTAGAATGGCAAATCCCAAAACTGAGCCTGAAACTTCTATCACCCGAACTCAGGCATGTTGTGTTTTCACTGAAATCTGTGTGTGATCAGTGACATCTCTGAATTTGTGTCTGTGGGGTTGATTTGTTTTAGTGGGAATGCTGCTAAAGGAGCTGTGCCATCTAGCCAATCGGTGTCTCTCCCCCGCTTAGCCTGTCAGGGATACAAGAATGATCCTGTAACAGCTGGTCAACTGTATGTCAGTGTTGATGGTCATCACATTTAATATTGGAGCCTCAAAGGACCAGAACCTTTTCAGAACCTGTCAACCATCTCTCTCTTGTGTAGCCAGGTGAGGGAATTAAAGAGACCATTGAGAGGAAGTAGGGGATTCATTGCCCATAACAGAGTCAGAGAAGTCATCTCCCCCTCACCCCCAAATCATACAGGATGAGTTAAATGAGTTTCTAAAGTATTAGAAGTAGATTTCTAAATCCTGAGGTTAGAAACCTTGTGTGCTTTGTTTTTTTTTTTAATAGGATAACCTTTTTTGACCACTTTTGGTCTTTTAGAACATTAATGTGCAGCCTACCATGATCTTAAGACTATCTGCATGATTCAGGCTTTTAAAGGGTTTGTTTTAATGCTTCAAGTACTGGTTCAACCAGCATGTGTAAGAATTGTGTGATTTATTTCTTCACAGGCAGTTATGAAAGGGTTCTAGAAATGTATACAACCCACCAGTATTTAACATGCTACATTTTATTTTATTTTATTTTTTATTTTTTTAAATGTTTTTTTCCTTTGTTGATTTGAGAGAGAGAGGAAGGTAGAGGGAGAGAGAGATGGAAACATCGATGAGAGAGAACATCAATTGGCCGCCTCCTGCATGCCCCCCCACTAGGGATTTGGCCCACAACCTAGGCATGTGTCTTGACCAAGAATCGAACCGGTAACCTCTTGGTGCATGGGTCGACACTGAGCCACTGAGCCACACCGGCCAGACGTTACATTTATTTTAAATCCTATTTATTCCCCTTTAAAAACTCAAATTACTTATATTTTTTCATTTTTCAAATTACAGTGTAAGGAATGTACTTTTTAAAGTATGACTCACGCCCTGGCTGGTTTTGCTCAGCAGTTAGAGCGTTGGCCTGAGGTCCAGAGAGACCGGGTTTGGTTCCCACTAAGGGCACGTACCTCGGTTGCAGTTTGTCCCCGGCCCTGGTTGGGTTGTATGGGTGGCAACTACTCGATGTGTCCCTTTCACGTCGATGTTTCTCTCTCTCTCTCTCTCTCTCTCTCTCTCTCTCTTTCTCTCTTTCCCTCCCACGCTATCTGAACAAAAAATGAAAAAATGTCCTTGGGTGAGGATAAAAAAAATAAAAATAAAGTATGACTCACTCTCCTGGCTATTCCCCACACTTAATATATACACGTGCACACACTTCCAGATGTAGTTCATAATATTCAGATCCCCAGGTCACTCATTCAAATAAAACTAAAAAGAAATATTTAGGGGCCATCTGCTCTAACATAATTTTTTTTATAGTACCTGAACAAATTGACCATAAAACCCCAATTGATTAGTGAGGATTTGAACTTCCCAATAGTTGAGGCTGTTAAGGTACTTCTTTACTTTAAAATATATATATAAGTTTAAAAGACCCTACTCACCAGTATATGAGTGTCTTGGAAATACTTTTTCTCTCCTCAAAGAGTGTTCCCACGTGCAGGTCCACGTGGACTTGCCTAGGCGATCCCTGCCTATCTGGGCCGAGAACTGAGTGGAAAGAATAAAAGCCTGGAGTATGCAGTAATATGTAGTCAGGCAGGAGACTTGTTCCTTTCTCAAGAAACGTCAGGCCCATCAAGCTTGGAAGGAAATACATTTTTTTTGTCAATCTGCAACCTACGCCAGCTGATGAAATGTACCAGGATTTGACGACCCAGAACATGGTAAGTTTTGGTCAGGTGGAAAGGGTCCTGTCATTTGAGCATAATGCTTCCTGTTTCAACATCAGGAACACTTTTGAAAATTCAATAAGGTTTCACAGGTGTAACTCTCCTTAGTAAAAACTTAATGTTCCATTTGTCTGACTCCAGAGCCCCTCAACAATGCATCTTCTATAATGAAAAAATGCAACATGAACAGAATAGATTTGGGAGAAGTAAGAAGGTACCCTCAAAGCCACTGCCATAAACCTGCCAATAGCCAGGAGGAATTATTGCAGTGTCCTCTGGAGAAAGTTATTAAACATCCAAGTCATCTTTTTTCCAAGCAACCTTTTCTCCCCTTATATTTTCCAGCATCATTTGCTACATCAATACCTTTTACATCCTCTTCATTCGCCCCATCAAAGTGATTCCAACTTTTTTAAATCAATGTTTCCCATTTCCTTTCTACACCCATCCTCATTGTCTGTTTAAAGCCTTTATCTCACTCCCAGTGATGCTGCTGATTCTTAAATGTCTCCAATCTAGCTTTCTCTTTGAGTCCTTGTCCTGATCTAGGCAAATTATCCTGGGCAGCCTTGAATTCAAGACTATCAAGTGGCTCAGGCCATTATTTCACTGGGTGGTCTCTGACATTTGCTTACTGAATTAGAAATCAAACTTGGATATGAGCAGTAAAGGGGATCTGGCTTTATTTTCTTTCCAATATTTGGAATACGAAAGCACATTGTACTCCGTGTGAAAAACATTTTCTCCTATTCTGCTCTTTAGTGGCTGTAAAAGTATTTCTTAAATGTTTGTGTGTGTGTGTGTGTGTGTAAATTTCCACATTCATGAATTAAGTTGATTTAGCAGACATGAATCAGAAATTTTATATATTCCTTATATTACGCAGTTTAGAGAGAAACCTGGTAAATGTTTTTAAGATGCTTTATTTTGGGTTTTTCAAACTGAATAGTTCAGTATAGCTATAATGCTACAGCAGTCAGTTCTTATATTCCAATTGCCTTGTAAAATGCATTGTTCCTGGTTTAGTAGCCCACTAATGCTGTGGGGCTAAACAAAGTGTGCAACGGAACCTGTTTTGGTTTGAAGTTAGGAAGTGCGATGGTGTCATAGAAAAGAAGAGGGTGGTTTCCTGTCTGTCTGTATTGGCAGCATATCCTTAGGTGACCATGTTGTTTTGGAGAGGAGAAACACTTGCCGATCACGGTTGCAGACCCTTGGCCATTTAATATTTATTGTGCTGAAAGTCACAGGCTGCTCATGGCAGTCACTACCAATGAGAGAGGAAATTGGTATGTTCTGCCTCTTCCCTGCTTGTGTGCATGATTTAAGGTTAGGTTTCTATCCCTGTTGTGCATCCTGGCTGACAAACTCTTTAGTGGTATGCTTTGAGCTTCTGGACCATTTTATAAAAAGATTACCTTCTCTATCTGCCCACCAGTTCTAGGATCTTTAACCACCTCAGACCAATGCAATGTGAAGTAGCCAGGTTTTGTTTGAGAAGAGGTTTAGGATGTTTGGTTGGTCTTGGGGCAGAGCCCTTCCCTTTACAATGATATAGGACCAAAGAACCCTAAAACAGTAGAAGGATGAGGGTCTCAGCCTCTCCTCACCTTTATTTCTATCATAAATTTTCATTGTAAGATTGGAAGATGCAAAAGCTGTTAAAGACCATGTCAGTAGTGTTTAATTAACGCAGGTAATAAAATTGTCTGTATTTGCTATATCCAGATGCCCTAACTTACCATCTTGGTTCTCTAGCAAACACAGTGCTTCTCTAAGCTTGCCTTTTCACTTGGGACTTTCTACCTGCCAGAAACTGCCTTTTGAGGCAAGTGAGTTTTCTACATGAAGGGCTTCTGCAGTTCTCCCGCTCAGGCAAGTCTACCTATTTTGTCCAATTTTATTCTTAGGAGCATCCATTGTACTTTTTTTTTTTTTTTTTTAATGTTTCTTTTTATTCACCAGATTTGGGCTTTTTTTTTTTCCCTGTATTGTTTTAGAGAGAGGAAGGGAGAGGAGAGAGATGGAAACATTGATGACAGAGAACATTGATTGGTAGCCTCCTACATGCCCCCCACTGGGCATCTGGCTTACAACCTGGGCATGTGTCCTGACCAGGAATCAAACTGGCGACCCCTTGGTGCATGGATCAATGCTCAACCACTGAGCCACACTGACTGGGCTGTTGTACATTTCTGAAGCCTTTGATCCTTGGGAAAGTTAATAAAAATCTTTCAGCTGAGTCAGAGTGAATCTTTGGAGCCTGAGAGAGTTACACTCAATTGCAGCAGAAAAAAATTTGCTAGACAAGCTCACATGTGGGATGTTAAGAAAAATTCCATAATGCATTTCTTTCATCTCTGCTTCGTGGGGATTTTTTTTTTTTTTTTTTTTTTTTTTTTTGAGTAAGCCCTTGATCAAGTTTGATTCCCAGATGTTGAGTCAGTGCTTCACCAGGGCAGTTCACTGCCCTTCAGGAAAAAACCATGAGGTACCAAAACTGTATCAATTGACCCTGTGTATTTTCTGTTTCCAGTGTCTTGTTTTGAAGAATTGGGGTGGGAAAATGGTAGGTGAGATTCAAAGTAAAGGAGAAAATCAGTTCTGGAACTGGGTACTTTGCTTCAGGTACAAGCATCTGTCCTGAATATATAGAAACAACTGCTTCATGTGTGAGTAGATTTACTTTCCTCTCCAGCTAATGAACTCCAGGCCCTTACTGGCAAGGAGGGCTTCAGCTTTCCACACACCTCACCAGAGTCATCCACATGGGGACTGGCACCACTGAAAGAACCCCCAGTGCTTCCCAGCTGCTTCTGGGCATGGTATTCACCAGGGCAAGAGCAGGTAGGCAGTGTGAGTCCCCACCCAAAGAAGAGGTGGGAGGGGAGAGGTGTCCAGACACACCGTTTCTCTTCTGCCATACCCCAAGAACCCAGGGAAATCTTTGAAGTGATGTTCATTTTTATTAAAGTGGAAGAAGAATGCCCCACTAAGTTTCGCTTGTCATTGTTTCTTACTACTGTTTCTTATTAATTCAAATCTGTATCACACCGCTGCTCACACAGGCATCAGTGATTCTTTCCTTAGCCTAAACCTCAGCACCTGGTGTCATTGTTCTATTTTGTTTCTCTTTTTTTAATGGCACTAGTGAATGAGAGAGAACCTAAAGTCTTAGAAAATCCTAACTTGAAAAGGAGTCTAACTGGCATGATTTGGTTACTTTACCTTTGTCTCCCTAAAGACTTGAATGGTTTCTTTGCTAGTGTTATATGATTGATCTGTAATAAGTGAAACCTTTGCTACTACTTTCCTGGGTTTTCTCCTTCCCTGAAGAAGAATTTATCTGTGCTTCTCTGATGACTGTTAATTTCTAATAAGTGCAGGAAGAGGTGAACCTGAGATTTCTCTTAACTCCCCCCTCACCCTACCTCCAATTACACACTAACCTCTGCAACCCCTGTGGAATGGGGCTCATCAGAAGCTACTTGTGTTTTTTCTCACCCTGCAGCAGCTCATGGAGGTGGCCCCTGAGATTCTGTGGCTGGCCAGTACTGAGGGTTTCTTCTTAATTTTGCCTTTCCCCATTCCTGTTTTATGGTTCAACCTTCAGATGCCTCCCACTCTGGCCTCCTCCTTTTTCCTCCCAGGAATCATTTCCAAGTACCTGCCTTGGGCATTCCCAACTGTTCTCACCTTTGCCCACCTGCCAGTGACCCTGAGAGCACAGACCTGAGAAATGCAGCCTGTGCAGAGCTCAGAGAACTGTGAGGACTACCCTACCCATCAGACTGCTTGG